CCTCCCCCCTCCTCGCCTTTTTGTAACGTTGTGTGTATTTGTATGTAGTCTTTCTCTTGAATACGATTTTTTGCCACTTTACTTTTCTTCTTCCTTTTTGTCCTCAAAGGGGGTAAAATTCGATAAACCCTCTACCATCATCATCATCATTGCATCTGGGAGGATTTGAACGTGTTGACGTCTCGATCAACAGTTCTGGGTCTGGGTCACACTGTACAAAGTCACCAGGCACATGTCCAACGACCACTTTACTACTCGTCTTCCCCCGAACACAACGCACCCTCATTTTTTTTGGCTGTACCGGGGCGGAAACATACCTCGTATACGTTCAATTTCAGGGTGCGTTATGTTCGGGGGAAGACCGTAATAGCGCACCCATAGTGTGATTTTTTTTATTTTTGTTTTCATAATGTGAATTCTTGATCGCCTGATCTACAGTCTTCCCCCGAATACAACGTACGGTCATCATAGAAAAAATTTAGACCGAAAGATACACCAAATTCAGCAACAATGACCGTGCGTTGTATTCGGGGGAAGACTGCAGGTCTGTACCAAACCGTGCACAAGCGGGTACGGACGGGCCTGTCACTCTACCGGTCTGCTGCTGCATCATCTTTAAGGAATTGAGCTCTCGACCTCGTCTTCGTCACTCCTACCATTTCTGGGCCTATCTGTGTACGATACGCTCACCAGGGGCAGGTATATAGTACGCCTCTATCGTTAATTGCATAGATTAGGTTGGGAAGCCTTGAATTCTTCTTCATCACCGATTTCGGGGTCTGTTTTCATCACCATTTTCGGGGTCTGTTTTCATCACCAATTTCGGGGTCTGGGTCTGTTTTCATCACCAATGTCGGGGTCTGTTTTCATCACCAATTTCGGGGTCTGGGTCTGTTTTCATCACCAATTTCGGGGTCTGGGTCTGTTTTCATCACCAATTTTGGGGTCTGTTACCCACTGTCAACAGGCAGATTCACCTGCCACTTTACTCGATTTATGCGTGTCATCCTTMCTTGCGCAGGGGCCATGCTAATCAATCTTCTTTTTCTGTATCGTTCCAATTTTAACGGATGTCCCGAAGGACCACCTGCCACTTTACGCAAGTAGTAGAGTATAGGAGATTTAGTAGATTTAGTAAGAATACACGCTCTTCGTTATTGCATGGATTAGGTTTCGAAACCTTGGAACTAGTCATCGCCAATTTCGGGTCTGTATCAGACATACAGTCAACGGGCAGATTCACCCGCCGCTTTACACTACCCTTTTTGTCCTGAATAGAACGTACTGTCACGAAGACTGTATGTAGACTGAAAGATACCCCAAATACGGCTACAATTACCGCACGTTGTATTCGGGGTGAGAAGGTAGCAGAGTAGATTTCACCTAATGTGAACTCTAGCACCGATTCTGTTATGGATTTTTGCAACCGAACTGGGGGATAACGTGAGGGGCATCTGTGCAATTCGGAGAGAAAGTGGGGTTTGACCTGTGTTGCATTATTGCCCTTTCCCGTGTTCAGCCGAACTGGGGGATAACGTGAGGGGCATCTGTGCAATTCGGAGAGAAAGTGGGGGGGGGGTGGCCTGTCTTGCATTATTGCCCTTTCCCGTGTCATGGGCGAATTCGGCTTCTCACAACGGTTTGCCGTTTTCTTCCCTCGTACATAATTTTACCCCATCGTCTTGAATGTATACAAACCCTGTTCCGGTCCAGATGCAGTCATGGTGGTGGTCCCGCTGCTGGAGCACTGTGTTTGGGAGAGAGGAAGGTAACAAACAGTGTTCCCACAGTGGAGTTGTAGCAAAGCTATAGTCTTCCCCCGAACATAACGCACCCTAAAAGTGAACGTATACAAGGCATGTTTCTGGCCCCATTCAGTCCAAAATGAGGGTGCGCTGTGTTCGGGGAAAGAAGGTAGGGGGACGCTTTGCAGCACATCTATGTCCAGTGCATCTTCTTTGTGGTAATATAATAAATTATATTATTTATATACATATGCACACTTGAGCAATGTGAAAAGAAAAAATAAATTGAAATGCTGGTGTGAAAATGATAAACAAAGCCAAACGAAAACAACAGCTACATGAACAGAGGGTGCCGTGATTGTCTTGTTTGGTCGACGGGTTGTCTTTTTTTTTTTTTTCCTTCTTCCTATTTTACTATTTTGTATGTGCACTCGGGCAAAAGTTGTATTTTGCTAGCGAATAGAACTTCGTTCTCTGGGCTGAAAGTTGTGCCAAATACAGCTATAATGACCGGGCGTTCTATTCGGTAATTATCGCCGTATCTGGGCTGGAACTTGTGCCAAATACAGCTGTATCTGGGCTGGAAGTTGTGCCAAATACAGCTGTAATGGCTGGGCCCGGGCGTTCTATTCTGGTGAAGACGGTAGCTTTGCATCCATCTACCCATTTTGTATGTGTGTGCCCTTAGTGAACTGTTGTGCGACAATGTGTAGTGGTCCAGACCCCAGTCAAATTCCTTGTTTGAGTGGCCTTTCTGTTCCTTTCGTTGTTACTCTCGAGAAAAATTTGTGTGGGGACCACAAGTGGCTGCATGCTATGAGAGTTGTTGGATACCTTGTCTTTGCTATCTCCATCCTTCAGGCAGTGCCTGATCAATTGTCGTTCGAGTGCCACTTGCCAGTCCTCAGTCTGCACAAACTCCAGCCTCATCCGGATTGTACCCAGGAGGACCCTCTCTCCCTCCGCACCCCACCTCCCCCTTCCTCCCCTCCCAATCTCCCGTCGCTCCCCTTTTCTTCCACCTCTTGTGTGCTTCTACGTCCATGTACTCCTGTCCCTATCCATCTCTCTTATGCCACACTATGTTATGTTATGTTATGTTATGTTATGTTATGTTTATGTTCACCCGTGTAATTAATTGTCAATCTCTTACTCCACGTCAGCATACCGTTTAATCTTCATCTCATCTCCACCCAGGCCGTTCATCTCATCTCCACCCAGGCCGTCGACTCCAGCGTCCTCGTCACATTCTATCATTGTGCCACTACACTATTGCATCTTATTCTTCTATCCTTGTGTGAGTATCACATTGTATTTTCTTCTGTCATGGGGCTCTTCTCGGATTGCTGCAGGGTCGAGCACTGCCATTGAGCAAACCACACCTCCTGTCTTCTTTCTTTCTTTCTTCTTCTTTTTTCTTTTTTTTTCTTTTTCTTTTTTTTTTAAATTTATTTGGACCATTTCTTGATTTATGCGTGTCATCCTTGCCCAGGGGCCATGTTAAAGTTCTCTCTCTGTATCGTTCCAATTTTAACGGATGTCCCGAAGGACGTTCCTGTCTTCTTTCTAATCACTTTCTAGAGTCTCTACATAAACTGGCCTGACGCTGTTCACCAGGACATCTGTTAAAGTTGGAACGCTGCTACAGAAGAACGGAGATCATCAAAATGGTGTGATGGAATGATAAACAGTTTGAATGCTAATCACTTGCAATCCATGAATCAAAATTTACATAGTACGTTCAATGGGACTAGAAATGAGTACATCCCAGCAACTGGCGTAGCTCAGTTGGTACACCGTTGGGACTATGTGAAACACAGACCCCACTGAGTTCGAACTCCAGTTCTGAATGATATCTGAAGGCCATCGCCCTTTTTGGAAAAACAAAGAAGAAATGAGTGTATCCCAAGTGATCAGAAGAAAGGCACTAAGTGCCACTAACTACAAAACAAAACAACAGTCCATCGCAGTCCATCACTTGTTTTTTTTCAAGTGACCGCTTCGCGCGTTTTAATAAACCCAAGATTTAGATTTATGTTCCAAAGCGAGCAACGGAGGCTTCTAGAGTCTCTGGAGAAAGAGGAAAGAAAAATCAGAGATGTGTGAATTTGTTGTATTTAGTACTATTCAGTGTGCTAAGTTCAAAACAAATTTTACTTTAAAGGGATAATTTGTGAAATACCCCCATAAGTTGAGATGTATGCCAAAATGCGCCTGTGAATTTGTTGTATTTGGCATGTTACCATTCAGTACTATTCAGTGTGCTAAGTTCAGAACAAATTTTACTTTATAGGGATAATTTGTGAAATACCCTCATAAGTTGAGATGTATGCCAAAATGCGCCTGAAAGATGTGGGTAGAGCGGAATGCCCTTTTGTGCTGAAATCTGTGTGTTATGAGCCTGTCAGGTGGGTGTGCAAATTTGCAATCTGGACCTCGCCGTTTGGGCATGGCCTTCTGCAACTGGGCCTCAGGAAAGTTGCCAAGTTCTGGGTAATTTTGCAAAGTTGGATGGTACCAGGTAGGGGTACATCAGAAAGATGGGGGGTCCAACCGGCACGAGGGGTATTTCACGAATTGTTCTTTTTGTCAGAGGGGCATTCTGCTCTATCCACATCTTTCTGGGGTATTTTGGTACATATCTAAACTCATGGGGGTATTTTGCAAATTATCCCTACTTCATACAATGAAGAAGTTCTAGTGGCTTCTAGTTTGGCGGCTTTTGTATTTTTTCACTCAAAAAACTGTTTTTGCGAAACTTTCGAGGATGATATGCATAAGTCAAGAAATCCCAATGGGCCAAATTAACAAAAAATAAGTGGCCTGACGTGCGAACAATACACGGAGGTCTGTACTAGTATGCCAACCAACCAGTGTACGGCAGAGACTTTTGTGAAAGTGGACTGCAGATCCATAGCTTGTAATGTGCTAACAACAACACACAAACCACTTCCTTTCTTAATTGCCCTTTTTTAGGCTTTTTCTCTTTTCTCAGACTACAAATTTTAGTTGTCCTTTCGTGTCTTCTGCCGTTTGTTTTCATTAAGCCGCCAGTACTTGGCCCAGCTATTGATCCCGAGGCTGAATATGCTCTGC